CCCTTCGGTTAGCCATCCTGGGTGAGTCCCATCCCTCAGCAACTGGTTCATTTGTGTTGCTAGGCGCTCATGGAGTGCTGTGAGTTTCTTTAGCCAGTAGGTGTGGACCATGTCCGGGCCTGGTTCTGTCCAGTTTTTCATATCTGAGACTCTTTCCTGTATGTCTGCCACTGTTATGGTAACTGGGTTCTGTTCAGGGAGGTTGCTGTGCTCCTCTCTCAGGGTCACCAGCCATTGTGCACTGCTGTTATGTGCAACCTCCTTCTCCCATATGCCTTTCCAGTACCTTTCAGTTTCCAGTCTTGGTGGGTCAGCTCTGGTGTTAGGACCCTGCCACTGAGCGTACACTTTCGCAGGTTGTGTTGCGAACAGCCTGTTTATTCGTCTGGCCTCATTCTCTTTCGTGTACCGCTTTAGGTGGCTGGACAAGGTTTGGAGCCTTTGTTTGGCAGTTTCGAGTGCTTCAGGTGTGGTCATCTGGATGTACCTCTCGGGTATCGGCCTTTTCATCACACCTCTTTGGGCCTCCGTCAATTGACTCACATCTTTCCGAGCCGCCTTGATCTTAGCCTCCAACCGTCTTTTCCATGGTGGGTAACGTGTCTCTTGGCTCCCATGGTTTCCCCTATAGCCAAGCATCTCTCGGATCACTGATGCTGAAGCGTATATCAGCGCTCTTATAGCCAAGCATCTCTAGGATCACTGATGCTGAAGCGTATATCAGCTCATTGGTTTCCGTAATCAGTTTATTTTGAACAAAGACTAAAAGTCAGAGAGTTGTTAGTTTTATATTGCACTTTTGTTAATTATAAATTAATCCTCAATCTGGGCGCGGCATTTGTTTTTCACTTTGAACTTAAATTCTTTACAGGAGTGACTATTCTGACTTTTGTCAGAAATAAACAATGTATCTTTAAAATTAGCTGGCATTAGTTTCATAGAGCGGCCCGGTAGTCCAGTGGTTAGCACGTCGACTTCACAGTGCAGAGGTACCGGGTTCAATTCCAGCTCCGGCCTCCCTGTGTGGAGTTTGCATGTTCTCCCCGGGCCTGCGTGGGTTTTCTCCGGGTACTCCGGTTTCCTCCCACATTCCAAAAACATGCATGGTAGGCTGATTGAACACTCTAAGTTGTCCCTAGGTGTGAATGTGAGCGTGGATGGTTGTTCGTCTCTGTGTGCCCTGCGATTGGCTGGCAACCGATTCAGGGTGTCCCCCGCCTACTGCCCGAAGACAGCTGGGATAGGCTCCAGCACCCCCCGCGACCCTAGTGAGGATCGAGCGGTTCGGAAGATGAATGAATGAATAAATAGTTTCATAGAAATGTTGTGTCAGAAATGTACTAGTGGTATCGGTTACTTGGTATTGGTGAGTCCTCGAAGTTGAGTACTCATACTGGTAATGGATTCGAACATCTCTTTATAAAGTGAAATGTCTTATCTTCTCTCGCGTATTCATAATTTTTCTTTAACCGAGCAAACATTTACTTTTTCCAAAATTCGATTATGCAAAGGAATGTTCAGCAGGATACCCAAATTCTGTGATTATTTGAAGCTCACAAAAGTTGACAATGTTTGCTTGAACTCACTTTGTGTGTGAGATTGAGGTCTGGGTCCATTTTGATCATCTCCCAACTGCCATAACCGTACTCATAGATTCCTATTAGCAGGCTGGAGTCATCCTCTTTCCCCCACTCGAGGTCAAAGTGTGCAGCCTTAGAGTGGCATGGAATCATGTACCTATGAATAATAAACACGCGCACACCCACACACACACACACACACACACACACACACACAAACACACACACCCACTCTCACACACCCGCACCCACACACGCACCCAAACACAGTCAGATTCAGCAACTCAAACTGTGCAAAACCAAACTGAGCACATAGTGTCATTTTTTACTCAACACTAACCGGAACATTTTCCCCTAGGTTTTACATTCATTTAAAATTCATCCTATTTTAATGCTTTTACAAACTTTTTTCTCTCCTCTGGGTCGGCAGGGATGGCCTTGTGAAGTGGAGCGAGTTCTTCCTCATGAGAAATAACAAGCTTGGCGTTGACTTGAACACCAGAGATCCTGAATGTGGGCCCTTTTACCTTGCCTCTTCTGCCCCCTGGTGTAAAGGTGGAGACAATGAGCGTAAATTCTTGCAGTCACCAGAAAAATATATTTTGCACGGCTAAAAGGAGTTTTCCTCATTGCAATTTAGTTACCTGACGTTTTTTCAGGTCCACAGGGGTTTTCTCGTAATGTTCTCACACAGCCGTTGTGAACCGTTTCAGCCAGGCGTTTCAGGTCATGTTCAGACTTGTCCACAAGTTCGGCATCACGAGCAATAGCATCCAACCTGAATCAAGAAATTGGAAAGAAGTCAAAAGTCAGTACTGCATTTGGGGGGGGAATCAATCTTGAGATGATGCACACTTACCGTTCCAGCGGTCCCCCAAATTTCTTGTAACTTTTGACAAACCTGATTAGTTAAAACAAAAACACGCATAAATAAGCTTTAAAATAAGAATGTAAAAGAATCTTGTTCGTTACCTCCGAATCTCAGCGTCGCTGAAGCCCTTGATATTTTCCCGTGGAATGGTCCGAGGCCGACCGCGTTTCTTTGGCCTCTTTCGATCCGAGTGGGAGTCGCTGTCGGACCCTGAGTATCTCCTGCTCCTGCCCTGTCTTCTGCCCTCATTAGCATTAAAGCTTATCTGTTAAATAAACAAAATAAGCGCAGGAAGCAAAAGCAAAGCTGACGCACTGTACTGAGGTTTTACTGCCTGATTACCTGTTTGGCACAATTCCTCATCCGCGGCAGCATGTAGATTTCCTCGAGCTCCTTCTGACGCGCCTCCTCCTCCATCCTCCTCCTTTGCTCCTCAGGGATGATGTCATCCCAACTGCGCTGGCTGCGCTCGGAGTCCATGTCTATTTCCTCTTCTTCCATCATGGTGAAGTTTGCAACCTGCACCGGCCAGAGAGCCACATCAACTTAGCAGATGTTAACTCGGAAGAGTTAAAGACATTACCGATTGGGTATTGGCCAGGAGTTAGTGTAACAAATGAATTCTTGATATATCACCTTAAACTGAGACAGCAGTTCTTCTCCCACTGTGGAGGGTCCGGGATCATTTTCTCTAGTCTCAGCTCTTTTGAGAATCTCGTCAATATCCATTTCCTATAGAACATGACAAAGCATGACACATTAGAACAATACCGTTGTGAATACGTTTTATTATACATTTTTTGTGTGTGTGTTTGTATTAGTACCTGAGGCTCCTGCTCTTCGCCTTCTGGCTCTTTGAAAAGCTCCTCAGCACCAAATTTCAGGATTGCAGACAACTCTTCCTTGTTGAATGGTGCTGAACTACATCATAAAAAGGACAGGAGAATTCAGATTGTCTGGTGTCACATGGCAGGATATCCTTCTAAGCACAGTGTGTGGCTTGCCTTGAGGGAGCAGTGCCAGTGTGGAGGACAGTTTTTCCCGTTGTGTCCATTCTCTGAATGACAAGGTGATCCAACACCATCTTCTTCTTTGCTCTTTCTATTATTTCCTCTTCTACAGAGCCCTTCGTCACCAAACGATAGATGTTCACCTAAGAGAAGAATGCACGCTTAGAAATGAAAGTTGGATACAATACTGAATCCTACAGGGCAACTCCCAAATGTCTGATACTATATTTACAGTGGCATGCGAAAGTATTTAGGTCGCTTGAACTTTTTTTACCTTTTGCCACATTTTGGGCTTCAAATTTATAGACATAAAGTTGGAAGCTTTTGTGACTAATCAAGACCAAGTGGGACACAACCGTAAAGTGGACCGAAATTCATAAGATATTTGGGGAAGAAATAAAAAACAGCCATTCCATAAGCACAAACTTAAACATTTGCCGCAGACCACAAAAGCCACATCGCAGCGAAGGTGCCGGGTTTGCCCTTGCAAAGGCAAGTGAAGTGAAAGCAGAATGTTGTGTGCCCTGCCGTCAGTGCAATTGCTTCATTTTGTATCACACACAAAAACTGCCAGGTGGAGGGGACACACACATGTTCATGAGATGTTTGAGCTGCCAAAAAAAAGCAAAGAATAGTGGTGCCATACTTGAAATTATGCTTGAAATGCACGCTTTTACAAAAATGTCTTTTTCTCAGTTTTTTTTTCCACAGAAAATGGAACTCTGATGAAATGTAGCTATTTTCTAATGCCTATTCCTAAGGACTGGAAAAAGGTAAGATAGAAAAAAAGAAAAGAGATTTGGTAGGCTGCATGTTTATATCACAACACAATAATCTGTGGGCCTTGCAAAAATCTGTCAAAATCCAGAAAAAATGGCTGGGATTCAATGAGTTAATTGTGATCGATTTTTTTCCACTCCTTGAAAAAAGTAAAGGGAAATCAAGTTTTGCTTTATGGAGTGAGCCCCCCTTCTGGAATATGCTTTATTTTAATGAACATTAAACACATACCGTTTTTAACAGCATTAATTTATATCAATGTTAACGGGAATAATATTGAGGCTTCTTGACAACAGTAACTTTGCCCTTTAAAATGCAAAATCCCCCCAAAATTAAAAAAAAAAAAAAAAAAAAAAACCGACATCCACAAGGAAAATTACTCAAATATCAAGCTTTTTTTGCATTCACTGTTAGATGTTTCAATGCTCCGTTAGGTTGCAACAGCTTTTGAACATAATTTACACAAGACTGTTTTTTTTGCTTCTTGTCTGACGCTACAAACCCAAACCAATTCCAAACGATAGATGAAAAACTGTGCTAAACTATCTTGGTTAAACATTATAAGCAGCGCATGTCAGCGGGAGGATGCACTTTTATAGTACAGAATTATGAAGAAGAAAAAAAAAAAAAAAAAGGATTCCGAGAAAAAAAACCGTTTGATCGACTAGATGAATAAATCACCCAGCCCTAATATACAGTTTCACTTACTTGTCTCTTTTGTCCAATCCTGTGGGCTCTGGCCTGGGCTTGAAGATCATTTTGGGGGTTCCAGTCTGAGTCAAAGATGACAACTGTGTCAGCTGAAGCCAAATTGATACCGAGGCCACCAGCACGTGTGGATAACAGGAAACAGAAATCCTGGGTATACGTATAAAGGGGGTGGGGGTAAGCGCACATGAGATAAACATATATCCTCAAATGATCACTGACACAAAATACAATATATGGAAAATCTTACCTCTGAACCATCAGCATTAAAATGATCCAATGCTTGCTTCCTCATCTCACCCTTGATGGAGCCATCTAATCGCTAAATGCATCAACAAAGCGAAAAATGCAATTGATGAAGAACGAATAGCCAAGAAATATATACTGATGCGTGCACAATAATTTTGAAGGTAACTGAGCTGAAAAGACACCTGAAAGAGGAACTGTCGGCTTCGAAGGTACTCAGCCAGGATATCCAGCATCCGAACCATTTGGGAGAAGATGAGAACTCTGTGACCTCGCTCTTTCAAACGAACCAGCAATTTGTCCAATAAAATCAGTTTCCCACTGCTGCGGATAAGTTGCTAAAAAGAATGGGGGAAAAACATTGATTCTCTCTCGTGCTTCCAAATACTATCAAGTATGGAAAATAAGCAATGACCTTTTCCCCTTTGATTCCTGCACCTTGAAAAAAGATGGGGCTCATTTATGGGGTTTTTTTCCCTCCGAATCTCAACAATTTCATGTTCGTGTTCACTCTTCATGAATTGTATTTTGTGATGAGCCTTTTGAATCAAATCCACACGCAATGAACATTTGGTTTGGTATTCATACCTGGCCTGCTCAAGTGCATAGCTTCATCCTGCCAAAAATGCATTATTTCGTACAGTAAGGTTGGCAGTTTATGCGTTTTGTATTTATTTCTATATGTGTTTGCCTTGTCCTGTTGCTCAAATTTGTTTACTAAATCTGAAGCAGTAATTCTCTTCACATCAACGTATTTTGGAGTGGCTGCATTCAAGCCACATAACTGGCTCAGCGCAGATCAGCGCTCAGTATCATTGGCTTTTCTTATCGTCTGTCAAAACATGGGCAAATGTGATATATCGAAGTCTATTGATTGAATTTTATGTAAATATGTATAGTTATTCCATAAATATAAAGTTTTATCACCCATCCTGTCATAACATGTTTTGATGGACCATCGTAGTCGCTCAGTGAGACCGTGACACCCATGAAATCCGCCATCTCCAAGTGGCAATTGGTGAGCTCAAATAATTTGAGAAATGCCTGGACTTGCAGATCAGTTTATTGATTCTATTCACTCAAATGATTTGTTCATTTAAACGGGTCTTTGGTGACCGACTCAACACTATTCTAGCCCTGTCTACATCAGATAGATTTTGTAATAAGGATCTCTGGTGAGTACCATGTATTCTATTTGAAATGTTTAGATTTTGTCATGTTATTAGATACACAATGATTTTGAACTGCTATATTATAGGGTAAAGGTTTGGACTTGAAGTAAAGGTTTCATGATGTATCTTTCTGTCGTAATTATGATATTCTTCCTGAAAAACATTAAATGCCTCCATCTGTCTGTAATGCCATGCATTGTTGCTATTTTTTTTGGAGGGGGGGAGGGGGGTCAACGTGATAGTGGTGGAACTGTATACCACTTAATTGCCTAATCCACCCGTTAATTGACTCCAAAATTTAAATTAATAGATAAAATCGATTAATTGTAAGCCCTAACTGGGAGTTCCCAATAACTGATACACAGATGGATACAATCTCTTGGAGGGCAACAAAACAAACAAAAAAAAGGAATATGTCAACCGAAACCTGTAATGCTTCAGCTCTGTTCAGGAATTCGTGGTCCTCAGGAGGTTTGATCAGGTAACAGTGGTTACAGCACTTCTTCAACTCCATCATGATGTTTAGGAAACCCGATGTGCTTCCTTTGATACCTTTACTGAGAGCCTTGTAGTTCCTGGTCAGGATCCATCTACAGTCACAAGAGAGACAGACAGAACGAGACAGAAAAATCAAGAGCGAGATAATTTTAAGGGTTTCGAATATAAAACTCTCTCTCTCTCTCAAACACCTGGATTCTGATATATTCAGTCGACTTAGTATCACTTGCTGATGAACATTGGTGTCATTGGGAGGCACACTAAATGTAAATATACAAAGCGAGCAAGAAAAGTTTGGACGCAGTCCTTACTTGTAATACTGTTTCTGGATAGCGCTCATTTCCACTCTGAGGATCTGCTCTACTTTGGCTGGGAGAGATTTCTCCACATCCTTCTTGACTCTGCGTAGAAGAAAAGGTTCCAGTTCTTTGTGCAGACTGGTGTAGCCAGAATCCCGTCCTTTACCATGTTCCTCCTCAAACATCTCCCACGAGTGAAACCTTGAAAAATATAACAAAACTCATCAATAGTGTTATCTCCTGATATATTTTATGGAAATATTACTCGTGAACTCAAATGTCTGATTGTATGCGTTTGTATTACAGAACATGTTATAAAGATTGTAAAGCTGACATACATATTTATACCAGTTTTGTTTTTACGCCCCAAAAAGGAAATTGTCCTATCAGCTCAATTTTGTTTACTTGATGTGACTGTTTTTAAACAAATGACATGTGGTAGAAAGCAACATAATAAAATACAGCTTTTTAAAAATCTTGTACTGAACATACCATGCCCCGAAAAAGGAAATTGTTTACTACCTAAGTGATTTGCCATAAAGATATATAGGACAGTGCCATAACCATAAGTGATGATATGCCACATTTATAAACGAGAATCTACGTGATCAACAGTGCAAGGCTTGATAGAACTTTTCTTTTGTGCGGAAGAGTTTTGCTAATCACTAAAATCTAACTTCAATGAAAAATCAAAAAGTGTTATATTGGTTGGGAGCTCCTCACAGATATAGCATCGCAAAACACTAATGGTGTCAATATTCTCCACAAAAATAAAATATATATTGCACGGTAATCGTGCAAATAATTTTGCATGGGACACTAATACTAAATAGTAATAGAGGGAAAGTACAAATACAGGAGAAAGTTAGATGGCCTGTTGTGAAGGGACTACTGCAAATAAAGAAGGAAGGTGGGAGAGCTCCTGTAACAGGTTGGTGACTTACATGCAAATCTTTTTAATAATGTAAATATGAATCTTACTTATTGTATATTTTTAACAAAAAAAAACATTTTTCCCTTGTCACTTTGGGTTGTTGTGTGTCTAGCCTTTAGGGAAAAAAATAATTTCTTAATCAATTTGGAAATAGGACAAACAACCAAACACAATAAAGAAGTTCTGCAATTAACACTTTCTAGATGCACTGTAAATGTATTTGTGTTGTTACGTGCATTTGAATATGAGGTTAGATTGAATTTTTATTGTATTTTTTAAATAAATACATCTGAGGTAGAGTGACTTCATTTCTTTTGTATTTTCTGTGATTAATTTAGTACAACAAAAGACTGATCACATTGATAATGTAGCAAATAGCAATAACCTACTTTTCAGGCATAATGAAATGCAGCAGGGACCAGAGCTCTTTGAGGGAATTTTGCAGTGGTGTTCCTGTGATCAGGAGCCTGTGATTGGACTTGAAGTCAATCATAGTCTTGTAGAGGAGGGAGTCATCATTCTTCAGTCGATGTGCCTCGTCCACACCGATGAAAGCCCAGTTAACATTGCCCAAAAAAAACTGCAGACATATTTGTCACATGTTTAGTTATTCTCCTAACAACATCGAGACCATGATAGAAGCTAAGGCTGGGCAATATGACCTTAAAACAAAATCTCCAGAACCCCCCTTTCCTACACCACTAAAATCATCACCCAGCCCTATTAGAAGCTTATGTGAGTAGCACTTCACCTTGTCCTTCAGAAGAATCTCATACGTAGTGAGGAGGATGTTGAATTTCAGCCTCTTGGAATGAACATGCATCCACTCGTGTGTCCTGATCTAGAATTGGGGAAAAAAAGGAATGTATTTGATGTTACCATTTTCATGACGACAGCACCAAGAGGATGTGGAGTATTTTTAAGCAACTCATAGGAAGAAGAAATAGAACAAATTTAGCTGTTTAAAGTGACTTGAAAAAAAAAGGTAAGTCCTTAGGTGTGTTAGGTAAGGTTTGGCATTATTTGAATTTTTGGACAAATCGAACAAACTTCTCTGTTCTTGAATTTCTAATATGTACTAATATTTTACTGTTTGTGAACATCACTATAAATTACTCAAAAGGCTATTTTTAACCAGGACATTAATTTTGTACAAGAGCTTTTGTTGTTGAAAATTTCAAGAAAATGCAATAACGCAGCAGTTGCTTAAAGCATGCTCCTGAAAACTGATTAATTAGCTAACCTTGTGTAGTTTTTCTTTTGAAAGGAAAAAAAACATGACAAACTGCATTTGGAGGGCAAACAAGAAAAATATATGTAATCTATGCAGTCTATGTAACCACAAGCTGTATGTGTTGTGTATATGACCTATGTACAGTGCTGTGAAAAAGTATTTGCCCCTTTCAGATTTCTTTGCATATGCATCACACACACACGACGGGTTTCAATTTGTCAAGCTAATTCTAATCACACAGAGACTACTCAAGGAAATATAAAATGCAGTTTCTAAATGATTATTTCATCTACCAAGTGGGGGGGGGGATTAAACCTATCTGGCTCTATGTGAAAAAGTAATTGCCCCCCTTGTTAAATCACAAAGTCATTGTGACTAACGACAGTGGGAGAGCGGAATGTACGCCAAAAAACGTCTAAACTACAGTCAAAGATTTTTCATGAGCAAACTACTGACAGTAGAAACCTAACATTTTGTTTTTTTTTCTATCAACAAGTGTATTTTACACGAGGTTTTTTTTCTTCAAAAAAATGATATGATGATGAGGCGGGACGATTTTCAGAAATTTGAGAAAATGACACGGAATGACCCTCAACCATGTATGAGTATGTATGCGTGCAAAGGATTCCAGCTTACCATATTCCTACTGCTTATGTCCCCAAGGTAGACAACAATATTCATCTGAGGAGCCCACAACTGGATTTCTCTCTGCCACGAGGTTAATGTAGAAAGGGGTACAACCAACAAGAAGGGCCCGTATAGCTGGTGCTCGTTAAACATATAGTTGAGGAAAGAGATGGTCTGAATGGTCTTCCCCAAACCCATCTCATCAGCAAGGATGCAGCTGTTGCCTCTAAAAATTCAGACAGAACAGAAGAAAACATGTAGTACCACGGAGCACGTATGAGCTTTAGGGGTTCACGCGTGGCGAGATTGCTTGAGTCTTACTTGCACCACGAGTGCGCCATCCAGTTTAAACTGTCCAACTGATAGTCTCTGAGCTCTAGTCCATCACCTCCTATGTAATGTGGCTGCTTTTTCATTGGAGCAAACCTTGGTCTCTGTTTCAGCACCTGCAGGAAAAGTACAGCTGGTTAGATCAACAGAATCTAAACTATATCGGACCAAATCAAATGGTGCAATAAATAGTGCTTTTACTAGAATCTACAGATTCACAGACAAAATTTCATCCAGCCGTCGTTTTATTTAATTACCTTGCAATCTCTGGATGGAATGGTCTTTGATTGGTTTCTGCTCATGTAATCATCAATACATTTTTGAAACTTCTTGGCAATCAGGGCTCCATCTTCCCAGCTACATTCTGAGTAGGGCAAACCCTGCCACTTGCACAGGTAGTCCGGAAAACCAGCAGCTGACTTTTGGTTAGAATGGCCTGTTCAAAAATATTCAGACAGTGATGGAAATTTTATTTACAATACAGCTGCTGTGCATATGCATACATTTTGATGTGTATTTGATGTGAGACCTATTATGAAAAAAAAAAAAACTGTTAATTGCGTGTACACGATAATTGGGACTTGGAGCAGTGGCTCATTTGTTTAAGATGGATGAGACCACCCCTATAAAGAGGCAAATTTTAGGAAAACTAGAAAAATAGAGTGAAATGTGTGCCATAACAGCGAACCTCCAACATGTTTAAGGTTCGGCATTCACAATTTAATTCGTATTTTTGTTTTGTGGTTATTTTCTGAAAATATCACCTATTTGCATATTTGCTCAGTTGTTCATTTCGGATTCAGAAGATGAGAATGCTGATGGATTTGTAGATGAGGATTGATCAAAAAAATAATGCGAGTATATTGTTCAATACTTCAATAGAGTCCAACCGAAGTCAGTTTTGCTCCCGCTGCCTTTTTAAAAACATGCATGCATGCTACCATATCTTTTAAGGAACAGTACATTTTACCATGCCTGCATCCAATAATGCGGTGTGTCTTGTGTATGTTTTAAATACAGAAATAGCACCCGTAACTGACACCGCATCTTTTAATATGGTGCGCCGTATGGTCATAAAAATACAGTAATATTTGGAAAATATAAATTAAGGAGCAAAATGCACCACTGAAAATTTGTTCCGGAAGGGCTCAGGTAACGACCAATTACAGCTCACCTGTTTTCTGGGTTTGGTCATGTGACCTTCGCAAGCTGAAAATGCTCCTGCTTGCCTCTTGACTGGTACTCGTAAGTGGGAGCACATAACTCCTCCTCTGGCATCCCTTCACTGGCTCCTAATACATTTTAGTTCTTTTTAAGATTCTATTATTTATTTTGAAATCTTTAAATGGGCCGCCCCAACTCACCTGTCTCTGCCCCTACGCACCTGCCTGGTGCCTCAGATCTGTGGACCAGACACTATTTAAGGTACCGAGAACTAAGCGGAGGGTCATAGGGGGTCGAGCCTTTTCCGTTGCCGGGCCCTCCCTTTGGAATGACCTCTTGCTGAACATTCGGCAAGCCCCCTCGCTACCCATTTCTAAAACTTGCCTTAAAAATTAACTTTTGTTCTTTGGCTTTTGACTCAGTAGGACACTTGATTTTAGTTTTACTGTTTTGTGCTTTTTCCTGTTTTCATTATAAATTTGTGATCGTTTGTTGTTATGTAACTTTTGCTCAATGTACAGCACTTCGTATACAGCGGTGGTTGTGCTCTATGAATACAGTTGCGTTGAGAATTCATATTGCATAAACGCAATATTAACAATAACCAGCTTTGAATTGAAAAGACATTTAAAAACATACCTATGATCCTCTCCACAAGTTGGTACTGAGAGTGCAGGTCATCGATGAGTTCTTCCTGACAATTGAAATACTCAACATCTTCGGGTGATGCTGTCTTCAACCTGGTGAAGGTACAAGGTTCATCATGAAATATGTAGTAGCTAAACCACAATTCAAAGCTACGAAAGACGTGATTAACATTAGGTAAAAGTATGAGATTAAATGAGAAATAAAGTTACAAACTGCATTCCTTACCATTTCTTTTTCTCCCCATCCTTCTTCTTAAAATTGTCCAGCTTCTTCATACCTCTGACATTTTGCACCTTAAGGGTCTCTTCTGTTTCCCAAGTGTTGTGAATATGCGCCCAATTCTTCCACTTTATTAGGTACTGGATTTCCCCTGCCTCCTTATTGGGGTTAAAGTTGGCATTTGGGTCTCCATCCGCTTCGACAGCATATACCGTAGTCACACTTCCCACGGCTGTGAGATTAAAAAGCAAAAACATGCCCTGATTTTTTAATGCATTTTTTGACTGATTATATTTGACTAAAATGTAGACATATAAATCACATATTCATTTCTAGGAATGTGAGAAGGTCAAAACTTTTCTTACCTCTTTTCCTTCCGATTCTGCTATCCATCACTCTCTCAAGTGTTTCAAACTCATCTTCCTCAGGTTGAGGAACATCCTCACCGAGAACTTCCACGAGGTCATCTGAATCCGTTTTCAGTTCCTCATCTTCCTTATAGCTGATGTTGACAGTGGCCTGCCGCCGTGGACCAGCAGCGACAACCTTCTTGTAGTTATCATCCTCGTCCTCAGAAGACGAACATTTCTGGGCTTTCTTTTTCAGAGAGCTGCTCTTCTTGCCATTTCGAAAATTCATCCTGACAAGAAATAACAAAAGTTGACTTAACAACCCACTTGAAGAAAATTAGCCGATAGAAGAGTGTGACGTTTAGGATGCGTTAAGACCGCAGGCATGTCTGATTTCAATCCGATTCCTCCTCAAATCCGATTTTTATGTAAATGTCCAAATAGGATCTGGCCTTGCTCAGACAGGGCCACGTTATTGACCCCTCCGACAGGTTGCCTCTGGCCAGCGAAGAATATTCCTGCCCCGGCCAAATTTTGGTCCCTGTTGGTCCCTGATTGGTGCTCTTTGGTCTGGTGCATTGGATCTTGTGTCGCGCAGTGATGTCATGGACAGTCAAATTAAATCGATATGTTTGGAGCCGTTCAGACTGAGATGCATCCTGTCCAAATGCAATATGAAACTTCCTCTTGAATGGGGTTTCAATTGGTCTCACAAACATCTGATTTCATGTGCATTGTGAGTGCTCAGATGACAACAGTTACAATCTTCATGGGCTAAAAATTGGATTTGGGCTGGCAGTCAGAACAAGGTCTAAACCACTGTTTACAACTGTGTTCCTATACCTTTTCTTTGAACAACATTCCATAAACGTTTGGGAACTGAAGACACGAATTGTGGAAGCTTTGCAACACAACATCCCACCTTCATTGATGTTGGATTTGGAGTTATGTTTGCATTGTTTCCTATGGTAAAAATGGTTTCCAAATCCAAACAAATTAAAAAAACCTTCCCCTGAACAGTTCGTGTTCAGAAGTTCAGAAGGTCAACTGTATTTCCAGTCAGTGTACTTACTTAGTTGGAGGCTTTCTGCTTTTCGTCGTTTGACTGGGCTCGTAGTCTGAAACGGTTTCATCACTGTTGTTATCAGCAGATGAGTCTGATCCAGAGCCGCTTCCTGATCCAGAACCCGATCCAGAATCCGAAGAGCCAGAATTTCTTCTCCTTTTGGATCCACTTGAGGAGTCTGAGTCATCACTACTTGATGAGTCCTGAGGTAATTGAACAATATTGACATATTCACGAATAATTGGAGATTTTTAATCAACTCCCACAATCACTGACAGATAAGGCGGGCACAATAACAGCGTATTACCTCATCAGAACCACTATTTGAGGAGCTTTGTCTCTGTTGCTGCTGGAGCTGCTGTTTCCTGAGCATAGCAGATCGTTGGACTGCTAAGATACTTGGGTTGGACTTCCAAAACTGCAGTTAGTGGAAAGGAAACACAAATATTGAACAACACAGACGCACACCCACACACACTGCTCCGTGTCAAAAAAAGATTTGACAACAGACCTGTGCACCACTTACAGCTGTGTCCGAGTCAATGGTCACAACATTTTTAATTACCATATTTTTCGTATTATACGGCGCACTTAAATCCTTCAATTTGCTCCTCATGATCCGCTGTGCATTATGTATTAATTCTGGTTGTGCTGACTGACCTGAAACTGATTTTATGTGATACACAGTTCTCAGAAATGGGTCAAAATGTTTTAGCATGTAGTAAAGGAACATTTGTTTGCACTGATGGGCGAAGACAGGATGTCGGCTTTTCAGTTTATTGTCTTTAATTCAATTTTTTCCCATGTATTTTCACATTGACATCCTCATCCAAATCTAATTGCTAGCAAAAGTAGAAGTTTTTGCCGTACCAGAACCACAACTACTTCATGGTTTTGTGTGTGAGAATCATTAGAAATGTAGTCCTACGAGAACAAATGATTGATTTGTACTACATTTGAATTATTTTAATTGATCCCTAAGAGCTGTTTGGCCTACAGCTGGCATTTTATTTGATTATTACTTAAAGTAAATTTTTGAACAGTATTATCTAAGCTCCATTAGTTTATCCTACTTCTAGGTTGTCGTAAAGTGAAGGTAGCTGCCAAAAAGTGTGATGCTGCGTCAAGATAATCAAGCAAAACAAGTAAGACATGCAACAACTTTTCTCACCATGCGTGAGTGGTTCCACTGGTGTTTGTTCTGTTTGTTGTTTTTGTAACGTCTTCCTAATTTTTGTGATTAAAAAGGGACTCAAGTAAAATTAGAGCGCAAGCCTTTTTTTTCAATGACAACGGCGTTGTTCCTTGTCATTGGATTGTGCAAGGCTCATCAACAGAAGGTTCGAGTCAGGAATTTCATACCTTGCTGTGACACTATCAAATAAACAGACAATTTGTACAATTCATACAATAAATTAACTGTATAACATAGAATGTTTCAGAAAAATAATGTGGTTTACAATCCAGTACGCTTTATAAAAATGTATGAAGATAGACCCATTCATTTATATTGCGCTTTATAATCTGAGGTTCATTATTATCCGAAAAATACGGTATTAGCGGTGGGAGTCGTTTTAATGGTATAATTTATATTCTAAAACATGAGTAACAACCAATACAGAATTAGCATGAAATAATGTTGTACCTCAGCGCCATCAATGTTTGACTTGTTTGGAGGGTCAATCTTTTCCTTGGATTTTTCTGTCTCTGAATCCGACTGGCTGCCAGAGTCTGAGCCACTTCCTGAGTCGCTGCTCCCTGACTGACTGCTGCTGCTTGAGGAGCTTGAACTGGAACCTGAGCCAGATCCAGATGCTGATCCAGAACCAGATTCATCATCAGAATTGCTGTAAAATTTGAAAAAGACAAAAAAAAGGGGGGGGGGGTGGATAAAGTTAATGAAACTGTCATCTAAAGGCATATTCTAAAAATATTGACACGAACCCAGCTGCTAATTTTTACAAGCTCTGAATTAAATTAATTTATTCAGGAATTGTCTTGCAAGAACTGAGATGGATGGTTTCGCAAAAAATGTTGGTCCTGAAACTTTCTTAATGCCTGAAGTCAGCATCTTATCTGAACAGCCAGCACTCATCACACCACTTCATTTCAGTCAACATCAAAATATGAACGCCATGGATGTGTTTTACATTTCATTTGACTTTTTCTTTTTCGAAGTTGTGGCTCTGTTGTATACCGTGTGGGTCAAGGACATGACAAGTGGAAAATAGGACAGAACAGGAGGGGATAGGACAGCGCAACGCAAATCATCCCCATAAAAAAGTTGAGTGCAAATGAGACAGCTGGGATGGTGTTTACCAATCAGAGTGTGACCCACACCAAATGACTAAAATCTCCAGGTGTACGTCTATGGATAAACACTGTATCCCCTGAATCCAACACCTGTGGTGTTCTTGCATAAGCAAGACACCAATACCCCAAACTTCTCTACCCGGGTATTTAAAAAAATGTGGGTGTTTGCTTTGTCAATGACTTAAAAGGTGTAAATGCAGTGGAAAAAAATAATGTGTATGTGTTGTCACAACTTTTTGAGAGTCAATATCATCACACTATCATCTGCATTTAAGTTTGGGGATAGATAACCTGGCCGGCACTGCCTGCATGGGACATGCAAGACAGGGCCAAATGACACCAACCATTCTCGAGTGACCTGTCATCTGTGTAGAATAAACTACAATTTCAAATAGAATTTGAGTCTTTTTTTTTTGCCATATGACTTACCTTGATTCCCCACTGCTGTTGCTTACACTTTCATCCTCACTGCGTCCTGCCATCGTGAAGTCTAGAATGTAGACTTCCACCAAAGCACCTCTAATAGTGTGTTCAACGTGATTAAACTGAAATGTGACAGTAAAATGTACATTATTACTCACATCTTACAAAATGCAGAGAAACAGTGCCTTCATCAATACTGTTTAGTTCAACTCCATCACTTTTTTACCCAGCTAAATATCTGTAATGAGTATGAATGCTGTAGCTGAACTATAGAATTCGTTTAAGTTTTCATGGTAACTGATATATTTTCAATCAAAGCTCAGCTAATAGGGAACGGATAACACAGCATATTAGAGTACTCAATTTCCAAATGCATACAACGGTTAAAATGATAAGTTATTCGTGTTACTGTACCGAGAGGACAAAAAACAGTTAATATAATTATTTCAGGTTAAAAGATGAAATGACAGGGACGAGTAATGAATATGGATGTAGAGTTAGCCACTATCACAGTTTGCCCCTACGGGTTGGGGCCTATCAGGCCTGCGCAACGACAGCGTGTTTACGTCTCAACAAAAGCCATGGGCGCTCAAAAACAACCAAACGCTTTCAATAGTTATATTTAACTAAACCCGTGCAAAATCTTATGGTCGCCCCACTCCCATGACTGTGAAAGTTGGGTTGGTTTTAGACAGTTTACCTTTTAGTCTGAGTAATAGTTTACCTTTAAGCTAACCTGCTAAAACCGGCTAATGCCAGCGTCGGCTATTGGCGGGGGAAGTTGTATATGCAGACGCGGCTAACGCGCCAGTCAGACTCTTCCAAATACAAATAGAGGACCAACAAATAACTTTGAAAATACATGTAGCGCCCGTTAACTGTAGAAATGTTGCCATCAATATACCTACATGGGAATGCCAATGTATGCTATTGGTAAATTTTAACATCACTTGTATTAAGATGACTGGCTAGACTAGTATCTAAAGATTTACAATAACTTCGACTCAAAGCGTAAAATGCTACAGGTGATCCACGCAAATGACATACATGTTTTATGTGAGGTTAACGGCCGCTTGGTAAACATGGGTTACAGGAGGACGCTAACGTAAATTAAGCACGAGGCTAGCACGGAAGCTACCAAAATGACAAAACTTTGCGGTTCCTCTTAACGAGGTTGCACTGCAATGTTGCTTTCGTTGACAGTCACGGGCAATATCGAGGCTATATCAGCAAGTGGTGCACTATGCAAATAGAATGTGTAAAGGTGATCATTGGCGCAGTACTTAACATACAAATAATTTATTAGAAAACCCACATATACAAATTAGCTAACCCAACTTCGTGCTCTCCATCTTGTTTTCATCCGCCGCTCACTTCTCGCGGCTTTAACGCATCAACATGTAACGTAAGAATACGTTCTCAATACACCATGGAACAAGTTATTCTTGCCTTGTTTTAGCTTAGCTCCTCTGATGAAACCGCTGTCAAAGTCCAACTGTCGGGTCCACACTTTATTCCTTTTATACGAACAACAATTAGTGTGATAACAGCTTCGGATAGCTAACGCTGTCTTGCGTTAGCTGGCTAGCGATCTCCCAGTTTGGGAGAGCAGCCCGTAACGACCCACTTCAGTAGAGCTTTTGGATTGCCGTTTCCTCCACACCTTGGGGGGGGAAAAGAGGCAAACCCTCTTTGCGCTGAGCTGTGCGTTGAAGTCCCGTGCTTGATGGTCAATCCAGACAGTAAAATAACAAACAAAAAGAGCTGGCATTTCATTCCAGGTTCTTCCGACAACCGGCCTGCGCCATGACGCCGTAGGGTTCACTTCGCTAGGAAACCCCGGACAGTGACGTAACGACTGCACAACAACACTGAAACGGCAGAAAGCATTTGGTAGTAGACTTCCTTTGAGCAAACTACAACTTCTAATGACAATATTTACAATGAGAAGCGTTTGGGTACGCGTTGGTTTGGCTATTGCAGAAATCTAAAAAAAACCTGAAGCTAAAACAAGCAAGTGTTTCTATTATAGTTGGAAAATAATACTGTAGTGGTATTTATGAAACAACCGTTGTAATACTTTCCCATGTTTTGTTTGTTATTAATAATTGATCGCGAGGACTATATATTTTCAATTAATGCTGTTTTACTCAGTAGCTATAGTATTTTGTACAGTTAACTCACTGTCAGTCGTCAAAGTAGAATCCCCCTTATTGCCTTTCGACTGATATTTCGTGTGCAACAGAATGCGTTCTGTGACCAAACCTACCGAAAGAAAAAGCACACTGTCTTATTTAATCAAAAGTTACTTTATACAACTTTCCACTCTCGATTAATCAGCCGTGGAACATGGGTTGGGGTTGGTTTCACCAAATACACTGGTTTCTGACCAAAAAGCGAGGAAAAACAGTCTTTTTTTTTGCAGGGGTCAGATTTGGGCATCTATCTGGCAGAGCAGTGAATTTGATGCTAGTATTTTTTGGTTTTGTTACACCTCACATTGAAAAAAACCCAAGACGAATGAAAGTTTTTTTTTAATGACGAAATGATTATTACATACAGATTTGTGCAATATATTATATCACTTATTGGTCTACCCCTAGTACCTTCTTTAGTACTGCATCAATTTTCATTCTAAATACTACAAAGTAGCATCTGTTCAGCGCAGTCTCTTAAGTCTCTCATTGCTGGGGTACTCTTGGGGTAAGGGAAATTTGCCTAACTCATTTAGAAGAATTGAAATATAATATCCTCTTAAATTATATTTTTATTCAATGTTTTTCTATTCATAAGTCTCTATCATGAATGCAAAATGCTGACATTTACATAAGAACCAGGGGTGTCATGAAGGAGGGGAGGATTAGAAGGGTTAACTAGGGCCCGAAGCATAAAGTGGAACTTCCATTCATCCATCCATTTTCTCTTCTGCTTATCCTCACAGGCTATCGCAGCTGTCTTCGGGCAGTAGGCAGGGTACACCCTGAACTGCTTGCCAAAAGTGTGACTTGATTTTTGTAACATTTAGAAGTTTTTTTTCCACACTGTCCTTGTTAATTACAGCATTTAAAACATTTCAAATCTTTTCAATACAGCACATTATAAAAATTTTTCTGAGCTACTCTTGAACACATCATGAACAGTTGCTGGGCAGAAGACAGAAACTTTCAGTGTCGTGATAGGAGCATTTACTTCTTTATCTGAGTACATCTAGGAGTGTATAGGTCACTTTAAGCCTTTCAGGGACAGCGGTCACTACAGTGGACAGCTTATCATGTTGTCAGGTTATCATTATTGGTGCATGAAAGGGTTAAAGAAATACTCGAATGGGTCTAGAAGTATTTAGGTTACTTTTAGGGAATATTTCAGGAGATATAAAAGTATGTAACTTTTAGAAAGTGTTTCAATAGAATTAGGAGGATATCGATAACTTTTAAGAAGTATTTGAGTAGACTACATAACTGAAATATGAAATACTGGATGAATTTGAAGAAATTTAAGTTTTCTGTCACACCTAATATTGTAGCTTTGACTCGTCGAAATAATTAATTCGGTACAACCTGATTTTTATTTATTTATTTTTTTAACGTTATGTGAACTAATTTCTTAAGGTAAGGAAAACAAACAAATGTGCATGTTCCCTCAATGCTTGCGGGCATTTTCATTTAGTACTCTTGTTTCTTCTTGCATTCCAAAAATGTGCATGCTAGATTAATTGAAGACGATTCTGAGTAAAAATATAATTATTCCAATTTAAAATGTAATTTATAGGGAGTATTTCACGAGCTATAAGAATATTTAGTGTTGAGGGGGCCCATCAGGAAGGTTGTATATGGCCCCCCAGAATTTGGTGCTACGCCCCTGTATATAATTGCTACTTTAGCTGTTTTACGTGTCGTACAGCTACTGTGCATGGCTCTGAGTTTGTCAAATTAAAATATTTGAACAATACCGCCATCTACAGGTAATTTTATGTATATTCAAAGTGCAGCTCACGGTACAGTTTGTGAAGATTTGAGAGTGGCGACTGCTCCAGCATCATTGGTCATTCGAATGAGCTTCGTGTTTGTGCGTCTGGACCAATAGGAAGTGGTTGAGGAATCCAGCAGCGATGGGACGGAACCATCGACAAGCGTCCCAGCACCAGTGATGGGGATGCCACTTCTTCTCCGCTCCGTTTACATCACACAGTTCAAGACGTCTCACGGACGAATTAGAATATGATTTTTTTACCGAGATGAATCGAATGCCAAGCGGACCAAAATGTCGGGGACTGCATTCCATGACGTGAGTATGACCTCTATTCTCATAAAACTGTTTATTTCACAAGGCCATCCGCCAGATGTCAGTCGTTTCCCAGTTAAACGGGCCACGGGTGGCGCAGCAACGCTGGCAAGTACATGCATTGGAAATATGACAGAAATAAGAGGAGGCGAGAAATGATCGTTACCAAAACATGTAGAAAATATCCAAAGACGTGGAACGTGACACATTTAATTGACATTCACACTAGGCAAATCAACACACGTTAAGACCGATTCAAGTGAGCTTTTGTCATTTACCGTGTTGTACTGTATCTTCCAATTATGCACTGTCAAGGAACGTAAAGCCTGGAGCACAGCACTTATAAGACAATTGTCTTAATAATTTAAATACACACTTACTTTAGATCAGAGTTTGCCAACCAGTGTGGTGTGGTAATGCTCAATGAAAAAATAAGGTGTTGCAGCAGGAAATTATCCAGTTTCAGTAACTGGTCCAAAAAGGACTCATTTACGACAAATAATGTGTCTTTCTTTATTTGTCTATGACGTATAGTAATAGGCAGAAAAATTAAATCCACTAGTTATCAATAAACATGTGTAGGCTATCCACTTTTTGTGACACCCAGTATGCTTCCATGGAAAGAAAGCATGAGGTTAATTCACAGACTAATGAGCCAGCATCATTCAGCAGCAGCTAACAAATAAAATTAAAACAATAATCAGATTTTTCTGCTTTAAATAAACATTTGCAGTGGGTATAAAATGGCAGATGGAGGAAGTGATGATCCTCAGTTGCTTTCGGCTGAGGCTAACTTGACAGATGGCGTGCGACTGGGAGGTCATGATTTAGGAAAGATGAGCATGTGCAGTGGCTATTCAAAGTCTACTACACACCACTGTTTAAATATAAAAGGCGAAAGCAAGATAAATAATTAAAAACAGGAGGAGTAAAAATAAACAACGAGCACAGCATACATCCGCTTTCATAACTAATTGCCCCACGGGGATAAATAAAGTTTTCTGAATTTGAATCTGAATAACTGAGGATTTGACATGTCGAGTTAAAAGTTGTTATAATGCCCAGGAGACCTTGTCTGCTTTTACATACCTTGATCTCTTGAGTTTTGGGTTTTTGTTTTGTATCCAGGCATCGATTTTCTGTAAAATTTGGTTGGGATTCCAAATTGTAGGTATTAGTCCACTCAAATCCATTTATTTTACACATGCAGTCAGTGTTTCTTTTGAAGATCACGACAGTCAGTGTGTACGGTATGTCGTGTCATTTATGTACAGTAATCCAATGCTTCAATTTTTTAGAAGTAGTAATGACCAGATTTGAATACTTATCAGTTATCAGTACAAATGTCTCAAGAGTTTTTGGTTGTTTTTTTTTTTTTTGCATGGGTTCAGTGATCATATCCGAACAAGCGGTCAATTTTGTGACTTTTCTGTACTGGTGATTCCATTCCTCTCACCTCAAAGTCAGCTGGGACAGGCTCCATCCTATCACCCAAAAAAACAATAAAATAAATGTTGGGGACTTCCTAACCTTAATCAAGTCAAGTCAAGTATCAAGTACAACTTTATTGTCAAATGTGCATACAGCACAGATTAAATTTCCTCCCTCGTAAACAGACAACAGACAGCAAGATGAGCCGCTGCGGGTGCCCGCGCCGCCATCAAAAGAACACTTAACATAAAATGACAAAATAATACAACACAACACATAAAACAGACAGCCGTGCCAGCTTAACCACTTTTCCTCCATTCACTTTGTTGTTTGAAGCAGTAATAGATGAATATTAAAATTAATAAATTATAAAAAATTATTTAAAAAATTAATATCCATCCAAATCGCAGCTGAAGTTTTAATCATAATAATGCATCAGATTTACAGTATATATATCACGCTTTTCTAGACACGTCACACTGAATATATTATATCATGTACTCGCACTTTCACATTCTGGTGGTGGGAAACTATGTATGTAGCCACAGCTGCCCTGGGGCAGACTGACGGAAATGTGGCTGCTAGCGAGAACCTTCGGTTCCTCCAACCACCACCAAACATTCACACTTAGCCTTACATCAATGTGAGTGACACTGGAGGCAAGGTAGGTCAAAGTGTCTTGCCCAAGTACAAAACGTCACTCGGACTAAGGCCGAATCGAACAGTGGATCCTCTGGACTCTACCTCTGCGACACGGCCACCCCTTTTTTCAATGGGATTAGATCTGGGAGTTTGCTCCTATTATAGTACCCCAAAGTGAGCAGAAACCCAAATTAGCATGCAATTTGATCGTGATTCAAACATACTGAGAAACAGCCAGCCTTATTCTGATCAAGTTAAAAAAAGTTAAGAGTACGTCACCACTATCACCATGGGACTCTTATACGCACACCACACTTTAAAAAAGAGGGATTTCACAGAGGTAAAAGCAAAATGAGGAAGTAAACAGTTGAGGGGTGCAGTGGGGATTGGCATTGATGCATAACATTTTAAATGTCACAGTGTTGTGCAACATTTGCCATTTTATGTGGCAGCAACACTTGAGAGAATGCTCGATCCTTATCAAAACCCTTTTTTAA